TATATATATATATATATATATATATATATATATATATATATCATACATATATATCAAGACCACACTTGCCACTAAATGCACTTATGTGACAATTCTACATTCCGCACAATTAAACGCGGGAAACGACGGCTCAGAACCGAAAGTGACAGCGGCCCACTACGCGCTACGATATATTAGCTACGGGTATATCGACGTTCTGCCGCATCGGAGCGCACTCACTGTGTACTGTTACGTGCGTGCTTCTGGACACAACGCTAGAGGCAGATATCTGACACTGATACTCTCCTGCATCCTCCTCATAGACCTGTAAACAACACGCAGTCACATGTATGTAAACGGTTCATCGTAGGCATCAAACTTTATTGTTTTTAATGCAGGGAAAACTAGTTTAATCATTAACGAAAGACAATGCAAATTTAGCATTTAAATTTCGTTACTGTTAAGGCTAAGAAAACTAGTTTAATCATTGACAGAAGAAAGGAGAAATTTATCGTCTAAATTTCACCCCTTAAATTTCGCATTGATCTCATCTTTATGCAGACAACACATACGCAACAATCTAAAATGTTGCCCTAATGATTACAACACAATAAACAACATTTACAGTCTACATTATGCAGATGACTGCTAATGAGGACGGAATAAAGTTTACAGAAAAACAACGAGACACTCGTTCAGACAAAAATATGGAGTTCAATATTGTTAATGTGACAAGGTTAGAGGAGAAGGGGGGATTAATTGAAGCTATGAGGGTGCGGTGCCTACCTCTCTGATGTTTAAGTTGAACTGATTCGCACTCTTCACCTCTACAGTGAAGCGAGTGTCGCTGGTGATGCGACTGCCTCCGCTCGTTAAGACTCGAAACTGTCCGTTCGCCTTGTGAATCCACAACACCTGCAAAACAGAAACACAATGCATGCAGCAGCAAGCATTGTTGTTACCAAACACATGCACATTTCGTTATCGCTTTACATTGTCATACGTGTCATTTTACATATCCTAAATCATCGATGGCATAGGCAAAACGGAGAAATTATAGCTCATATATTGACAGACAAAGTTTAGCAAGAGCAGGGTTCTTGGTGGATGTGATAATCATTTAGTAATATATATTACATTATCTATAGAGGTTTTATTTAGATGTTTATGATAATTATAATACATCCTTTAGAATTATAATAAATATCACACATATGTGATAAATACAAATAAGAATAGTGAAACCACCCAAGTAGGCCTACGTAGAAATCAACACATTAGTAGTCTAGTAGAGACATACATGATTTTGGCCCAAATGTTCCATAAAGCATTTCAAGATGGCCTTTCCTCCCGACACAATGGTCATGTCTGGAGAGGTGTATATAATCCTGGGCAGGATAATTCCTGTTCCATTCTTCGAACTCTGCGCAGACACTGAAACATCCGCAAACGCCAACACATTCAGCAACCAACTCAAAAGTTTTCCCGCTTCTCCAAAATTACCACACGCTTCGCGCACTTTGTTCACGCGCGCGTAAACCGACGGGGAAGTCGATTGCGGAAAAGGCGGGAAGAGATTTCCTTCCCTCTGCAACGGTTTGTCACGGCGCACGAGGAACAAACGAGCGTCGCTGCCGCGCGTACAACAATGGGAGCAACAATAGCTCCGGGGGCAAGTTGTTGTTGACACTCGAACAGGTCGTATCGTTATCGCTCATCAATTAAAACCGGGGAGTGACCCAGCCCATTGTGTTTTCAGTAGCGCGGTCCTACCACCGCCGGCATTCAATAACACATAGCAGCAATGACACACAATAGAGCATAACCGCGCGCAGGGACCATTCTGCCTGGAAATCGCCAGCCGGGGTAGCTTTACTACCCCCGGAAACATGAAAATCTGCCGTGCCGATCTGCATGTTGGGAGCAGCAGATGCGCAGAGTCCACTCAGTTTTCCTATTCATTAGGCAGCACGGGGCCAAACCACTCTGCCTTCTGCCCCGATATCCAATTACAAATCATTCATTGGCGGGTAGATTGAAGTGCTATTGGGCTAGCTGGGCAGTTAACAGCTGCAATTTCCTGGACGACAAACACCAGAAGTGCTCGGCCATAGATTACCCTCTTGATTTGCCACTTGATATGCATTTGCATCATGGGTAACATGAGCCGACAGTAACTACAAAGTGTGAACAGATTATAGTCACGCTAGGGATAAACACTGTGATATCCAGTCAGCAGGATATGTGTGTAATTATATGCAGCTAGATTACAATCAATATTTGTTGATGTTTATGGAGTGAACATGCGATACTAGTATGCCGCAAGATCACAGTTTCATCTTTGGTTGAGCATTATATTTCCCTGATTTCATCGATCTAACACTTTTGTGAGAAACACTGGATCAATTTCAAACACTCTAACCATAAATATATACGGTAAAAATATCATCTCTGGATGCAAGTAACTCGAACCAGCACCAGCAATCATGGAACTTATATGCAGCACAGCCAACAATACATGAACAGGTTTAATAAAGGGAAGCTCTACCCTTGCCGACGAAGATGGGAGTGACAGATAATGGGAGTGTTCACACATATTCATGTGTGTGGAATAATTGAAGTCTTAGAATAGGAGACATAATGCACAGCCTTAGGTTATGAATGATGGGCCTTCGTCAATGAGCCAATCGATGCTGATTGCTGACTAATTGCAGGAAACTCCTTATGGTTCGCATAATGAAGTGTTTACATTTACTATGACACATACTGCAGTGTGTAAGAATACAGGGTGCGGAATTAACAGGAGTTCGGAGTCAAATACTCTCTGATTTACTGTTGGACTCCGTGATTTGACATATTATCAAGAGCGTATAAAGAAGTCGTATATCAAGAGTGTATAAATTCTGCGATATTAACTAATTCGTTCCGGAACATGGCCTCGCAGAATTCCCGTATTTTTTAAGCTAATGTCCAAAGAAAATTTGGCAGACGTGCAACTGCATGAATCTTAAAAATAAGCACATGCGTTATTGTTAATATCTTTTAAATTTTGAACCTCAGACTGCGAACTCTCTCATTTTGCCGCGGACTCCCACTTTTTGAGGGTAGGGAGTCCGTTGGACTCCCGTGTTCAAAAGTTAAAGATATACAGACAGACATATAGATACTATAGAGCTAAATAAATAGAGATGGAGATAGATAGAGAGAGATTAATAGAGAGAGGCAGGCACACGCATGCACCCATGCACGCGCGCGCGCGCGCGCGCACACACACACACACACACACACACACACACACACACACACACACACACACACACACGAGGGTAGGGGG